GTAATCTGTACGATACGTATATGCTGCAACACTATGTTACTAGAACTGGTTTCGATACTTTCCCGCAGATATATATCCATGACTTGTGTATGCATTATCGGATAGTGTTCATTTTCTGACAAGTGTATAGACAAAGTGAAATATTCGCGAGAAATATCAATTCGCGTCTTGGAAACTCGCGAATATTAGCGAAAATAAATTTTTCGCTAATAATAAGTGTTTTACAGTAACCAAATATGAAGACTGTTGACCAAAACATTCTTAAGCAATTGAGCAGACAAGCTTTATTGCGTCAAGGCCACAGTGACCTTATCCTTTGACCCAAAGACTTCAAAATCAATAGGGGTCACCTTATGATCATGACTTACCTCCATGCCAAATATGAAGACTTCTGGTCAAAGGAATCTTAAGTTATTAGGCGGACAAGTTTTTTTTAGTCAAGGCCCCTGTGACCTCAAATTCAAAAGGGGTCATCTATTAATCATGAGAAAAGGAATCTTAAATTATTGGGCGGACAAGCTTTTTGAAGTCCAGGCCCCTGTGACCTTGACCTTTGACCCCAAAATTTAAAGGGATCATCTACTTATCATCACCAATCTAAATACGAAATATGAAGACTGTAGGTCAAAGATGTATTGGGCAGACAAGATTTATGACATCAAGGCACCTGTGACCTTGACCTTTGACCCAGTGACCTCAAAATCAATAGGGATCATCTACTTATGACAACCAATCTTAATACGAAATATGAACCTTGTGGGTCAAAGGAATCTTATGTTATTGGGAGGACAAGTTTTTTGAAGTCAATGCCCCTGTGACCTTGTCCTTTGACCTGGTGACCTTAATATTCATAGGGATCATTCTACTTATCATCACCAATCAAAATGCCAAATATGTAGCTGTGGGTCAAAGGAATCTTCAGTTATTTGGCAGACAAGCTTTATTACATCAAGGCCCTTGTGACCTTGACCTTTGACCCAGTAATCTCAAAATCAATAGGAATTATCTACTAATGATGACCAATCTAAATACCAAATATCAAGACTGTGGGTCAAAGGAATCTGAGGTTATTGGGCGGACAAGCTTTTTGAAGTCAAGGCCCCTGTGACCTTTGACCCCATCACGTCAAAATCAATAGGGATCGTCTACTATTCCTGACCAATCTAAATACCAAATATGAAGACTGTGGGTTAAAGGAATCTTAAGTTATTTTGCGGACAAGGAAAAAACGACTGACAGCCGGAGGGCCGGACAGAAAAGCTGATTCCAGTATACCCCCCTTACAACCTTGTTGTGCGGGGAATAATGAACAGAAACTGATGGTCATGAATAACAGAATTTTCAAATAAAGGAACAGGGTAACACTATATGCCTTAACATTTTATGACTTTTTACTGTTTTTAATCTTTTCAGAGACTTTTACTAAGAAGGTTTTGATTCCCTTTTTAATTTTATTCAATTTCTTTTTCATTGAACTTATACAAAGAATCCCCAGGGATCAAAACCACCTTGCCTGCCAGAGCTTATAGACACAAAGACTCCCAGTTGTTCAAACCCATTCTGTCACCTTAGTTAGTAGGGGTCATATACTTGTTATGACCAATCACAATGTAAGATATGACAACTTTGTGATGAATACTTTTCAAGAAAATCAGCGGAAACCATTTTGTCATTTAAGGCCCCTGTGACCTTGACCTTTGACCTAGTGACCCCAAAATCCATACGGGTCATCTACTAGTTATGATCAATCACTATGTGAAATATGAAGACTTTGTGATAAACAGTTTTCAAGATAATCAGCGGAATCCATGTGGTCTACCGACGGACAGACCGACAGACAGACAGACGAACCGACTCAAGATAACTTTGTCAAAAATTATTTAACCATGGCCAAATTCAAACTTGAACTGCTTATTCCAAAAATGAATGTGTCTATATCAATATGTCAAATTTGAGTCGAATGTGTACAACCATTGGGAAGATAATGAACGAAAACTAAAAATTTCTGATTTTTTTCAAAGTTCAAGAGGGATCACTGTCAGCTATCATCAAACCATGACCAAATTCGAACTTGACCAGCACATTCCTTCAACATATCCATATGTCAAATTTTAGTTGAATGTGTACAACTGTTGGAGAGATAATGCACAGAAACTGAAAATTTCATATTATTTTCAAAGTGAAAGGGGCATAACTCTGCCAAATATCATCAAACCATGACCAAATTTGATGCTGACCTGCACATTCCTTTGACAAAGCCATATATCAAATTTGAGTTGAATGTGTAATACTGTTGAAGAGATTAATGAACGAAAACTGAAAATTTCATATTATTTTCAAACTGAAAGGGGTATAACTCTGACAACAAGAGCCACCGCCAAGCGGGGGCAACGCTCGACTTTTTACTTTCTCTAAAAGAAAACAAAGAAATGTTTGAACAAAATCATAACGTTTCCTTTTTATAAAATTAATCAGTCTGTCTTGTCATATTAGTTTTGTCTATATATTTTGTATATATAAATATACTAATATATATTTATATATATAAATAGAAATACGCAATTCTATAAATGGAAAATTCTATAAACAGAAACAAGCAATTCTATAAAAGAAACACGGGATTCCATAAATAGAAAATTCTATAAAAAGATACATGTGGTGGAGTCACATGGTGACACGTGGTGGTGACAAGTGGTTGACACATGGTGTCATGTGGTGAAGTCACATGGTGGTGGTGTCATGTGGTGGAGTCACGTGGTGAAGTCATGTGATGGAGTCACGTGGTGGAGTCATGTGGTGAAATCACCTGGTGAAGTCACGTGATGGAGTCACATGGTGGAATAACGTGGTGGAATCACGTGGTTGAGTCACGTGGTTTAGTCAAGTGATGGGAGTCATGTGATGGATTCACGTGGTGTCACATGGTGGTGACACGTGGAGGTATCACATGGTGTCACGTGGTGGTGTCACATGATGGATTCACGTGGTGTCACATGGTGGCGGAGGTATCATGTGGTGTCATTTACAGAGTGAATTTACTTGGTGGGGTCATGTGGTGTCACGTGGTGTTGTCACATGGTGGAATCATGTGGTGACATGTGGTGTCACATGGTGGTGTCATGTGGTGACACATAGCGGTGACACATGATGGTGGTGGCGGTGTCACTTGGTGGTGGTGACACGTGGTGGTGACACGTGGTGGTGGTGTCAAGTTGTGTTATATATATATACACAAACCAATAAATATATATGGTAATTTAATGCACAAATCTGAGATAATTCAGTAATTTAACCCTCAAGGTCAAGGTCATTAAAGAGCCCAAGTGTTTGATAAACAACAAGGTCTTGTCCTGACGTATGTTCTGTTATAATATGAAGTTGATCCCTTCAATAATAGCAAAGTTACAGCCAGTTACAGCCAAAACAATGAAAATTTCAATAATTTGAACTTCAAAGTCAAGGTCATTAATGAGTGAAGGTCAAGGTCTGTCTGGTTATTTTTAAGGGTTATCTTTGAAGATTATTATGTTCAAGTTTGAAGACAATCCATTCAAAAATAACAAAGTTACAGCCAATAATAGCCAAAAAATTGAAAATTTCAATAATTTGACCTTCAAAGTCAAGGTTATTTATGAATGAAGGTCAAGGTCTGTCTGGTTATTTTCAAGGGATATCCTTGAAGATTATTATGTTCAAGTTTGAAGACAATCCATTCAAAAATAACAAAGTTACAGCCAATAACAGAATGAACAAGCAAAATTTTGACTTTTAACCTTGAAGGTCAAGGTCATTTATGAATGAAGGTCAAGGTTAGTGTGGTCTACTGAAAGGTCTTGTCCCAAAGGTTGTTGTGGCCAAGTATGAAGAAAATAAAAAGTCGAGCTAAAAATCATCAAACCATGACCAAATTGAACTTGACCTGCACATTTCTTTGATGTATCCATATGTCAAATTTTGAATAGAATGTGTACACTGTTGGGGAGATAATGAACAGAAACTGTCAACATAATTTGTCATCTTAGTGCAATAACTGATTAACTCCTATTGAATTTAGAAGAACTTATTACGTTATTGCACTAAGGTGATAATATGTCAATTTTTTTAGGAAAAGTACATGCAAATGAAATGTGCATTGAAAATAAATCAATAGATTCTTTACTAAGGTATATGACTAAATTTTATAGCCATATAGATATTCTGTACACACATATAAGTTCTCTAATGACAATACTGACATTTATCAACAACCACAAAAATAAACACTAGTTATTGCCCATGTCTGAAAAACCTTATTTAAATAGCTATAATTATTTTTCTGATGAAAATATGTCATTTATCTCTAAGCAATATTCCTTTTAAATCATTTGTTGTCTTAATAACATTTTTTATAAAATACACGGAACTTTATAACTTAGTCTTATAATTTTGTTCAATTTGTCAAATTTTCATGAAGGGAAATAATCCAATTAAATTTTATAACAACAGGAAAAGGAAGTGAATTATTCCCCTTTATATTCATTCAAAACCAAAAGAGAAAGTAAAACAAGTAAAATTTCCAACTAATAATCTTGTCAAACAGAAAGTAAATACAATTCTTTTATTTATTTCAAGACACAGTATCAAATACAACACTCAAAGTAAGTTTCAAATTGATCTTTATACATATTAATTTCACATTATTAATAAATCAATAAATACATTATTTAAGAAAGTATAATGGATGGTATATTACTTATTTAGTTTGTGTTCAGGTATCTTCAATGTAAAGTTTCTACTTCAAGTTACAATTTAATTGGAAAATTAAACGAAACTTTCCCAGTAAGGTGAAGTTTAGTTCAAATTCCATCGACTGCAAACTCCTTTGGGGCTCACACAGAGAGAAGACGCAGCTAATAGCAAGGCTTATCAGTCTTTAGAGTCAAGATCATAGTGTTAAATGATTAGTGATACAGCACCATGATCTTATAATGAAGGAACATGATTTGGGATGGTGTGGGTGGGTGTGTGAGCCCTTAAGGAGTTTGCAGTCGATGAAATTTCAACTAAACTTCACCTTACTGGGTAAGTTTCGTTTAATTTTCCAATTTCATCTCCTGCATAACTCCTTAATGGGCCCCACAGAGATTTTAGAGATGTTTCTTCATAATTTTTAGAAACAGTTTTGATAATGACACAATATTGTTTTATTTGTTGTTTTTATTGATTCTATTACTACAATTATTTTAAAGGTTAAAACATTAATAATATTTCATCTATTTGTCTAATACAAAATGTATATTCCTTCAACCTATTGAAATGATACTACTATCTACTTCCCCATGCTTGGCTTATATATAGCCTCATGGATGGTTTTTGAGCCTGAAATGGGCTTATTGTAGAAACGTGCAAATGTTTTAGCATTTGTCCATCCTGCTGTTCTAACAATAGTTTCCAGCGGAATACCATGTAGCCTGGCCCTAGATGTTGAAGCAGATCTTGTGCTATGTGCACCGAAATGTTCTGAAACTCCTGCCTCTCTCATTACATTTTTAACCCATCTAGTAACCGTACTTCTTGATACTGCTTTAAAAGGTTTGATAGTGCTAATCAGTAAACGCTGGCCAGTTCTTAGGTTTTCAGTTCTTTTAATATATTCTTTCAAAGTTTGTACTATACATATGTTTGGGTTTTCATTAAATGCCTTAAGGTGAATAGTTTCTTGGTGATATCCAGGTCTTGACTGCTTTAAAATGTGGTTTGGTTGAATAAAAACTGCTTCAGGAGAGAAAATGATATCTTTTACTTCAATAAGGTGTAAAGTTTGGCATCTTTGCGCCGACAAAATAAGAAACAGCATGCATGTCTTGCATGATAATTGTAGCAGTGTCATGTTTTTAAGTGATTGTAAGTAATCTAACACAATTTGAATGTCCCACGTACTCTTGTATTTGGGCAAAGCTGGTCTTTCATTAAATGTCCCTTTCATAAATCGTGTTAGTTCTTCTGAACTGGTAATATCGATATCGCCACATATCCTTAAGAATGAACTAAGTGCGGATCTTGCCACACATAAAGATCTGTACTGAAGTCCGTCCCGAAATAAATTTGACATAAATTGAAGAACTTGGTTTATTGAAGGGTTAATGGGGTCAATTTTAATTCCACAGAATGTGATCCATTTTTTGATATATGTATTATATTGCTGTTTCGTGCTCGATCTCCAGGATTTGAGAATGATATCTCTGGCATTCCTCGGGACTCCTTTTGTTTTGTGAGCTGACCTGATACTAGAAAAAGCCCAAGTTTCATCTGTTTTAGCGGATGTTTCCGTTCTGGCCTGTGGGGCAGATAGAGGATCTTTTGCGGGTTTGGAAGATTGTAAGCTGTCCCGACAAGGAGATGAAGAAGGCTCGGCCACCATGCTTGTGTTGGCCATATTGGTGCAACTAGCACCGCCTCTGTGTTGTCTTCCTCTATCTTTTGCAATATACGTGGCAGGAGACTGAAAGGGGGAAACATATAATAGAATTCATCAGACCATGTAAGAGAAAATGCATCAATGGCAAAGGCATTTGGTTCGGGTCGGCGAGTGACAAATTTTGGTAATTTGTAATTCAATCTTGATGCAAACAAATCTATAGATAATTCAGGGTAAGCTTCTTTTATAAGTGAGAAAGCTTCGGGACATAATGACCATTCAAGATCTTCACTAGATGATCTTGATTCTTTGTCTGCCTCTACATTATCTGTTCCTGGAATATGTGCAGCTGTGAGGTGGATGTTTTTGTCTAAGCACTAAAACCAAATATCCCTAGCTAGGGTATTAAGTTCAGTTGTCTTTCCACCAAACTTGTTAATGTACGCACAGCTGGTTGTTGTGTTATCCATAAATACTTTGATGTGTTGATCTTTGATAGTTTTACAGAATGAGAGTAAAGTTAATTGACAAGCCTTGAGTTCAAGGATGTTTATATGTAAGCTTTTTTCTTTTGGAGACCAAACACCTCCAGCTTTCTTGTCATCAATTTGACTGTATGCCCCCCACCCGGATTTTGAAGCATCTGAATGCAGATCCATGGTAGGGGCCCCATGGGAGACTGGTCTAAAGGTTTTTGGTAGATTCTTTATCCACCAGGTTATGTCTGACTGTATTGATGTTGGTATGTTCATAAAACTATTATAATTGCCTTTGTGAATTCTTAAATTTTTGTCTTAATCTTTTCTAATGGTTTATAAAATAAAGGTGCATACTCTACTCCCGGCTCAGATGCTACTAGTTTACCTATAAGTTTGGCATATTCACTAATTGTAACTCGTTTTTTCTCAAGCATGTCGTGACAAAGTGCAATTGTTTCTGAGACATTTTCGGGTGTAAGTCGACTGGTAATTGTGACTGAGCAAAAAATGAATCCAAGAAGACAATTTGTTGGGATGGAATCAAAACAGATTTTTCAGGGTGTATTGTAAGACCTAGGGAATCCATAAGTTGTATGGTATCTTTGATATTTCTCATACAGGTTTGATAAGAGTTACCTTGTAGGCAGGAATCATCAATATAGGCTGTGCTTATGTGACCTAATGTTCGCAAGTTTGCAAATACCGGTTTCATGATTTTTGTAAACACTCTTGGTGATGTGGTTAGCCCCATTATCAAGGCTTTAAATTGATATTTCTGATTATTATGCCAGAACCGAAAGTATTTACGATCTGTTTTGCATATGGGGACAGAATAAAATGCCTCAGAAATGTCAATAGACCCAAAATAACAATCCTTGCGCATATTATTGATAGCTGACTGTAATGTTTCCATTTTAAAATGAATGTTGGCCATATGATTCTTATTAAAGGTTTTTAAATTTAAGATGACCCTGACTTTACCATCCTTTTTAGGTCTAATGAATATATTTGATATATATTCATTTTCATCTTTTGTGAAAATTGGTTCAATAATTTTGCATTGTAAAAATCTATCAATTTCCATGTTAATTTGCAATTGTTCTGTTGAAGAAAATGTCAAAGGTTTGGGAATAAATTTTTGTCTAGGCTCATTTGTTAGTTCTACTTGGTAACCATTAATAGTGTCCAAAATCCATTTGTCATTTGTGAGTTTATACCAATTTTGGCTATGATATTTTGTTTTTCCCGCTATAAAGTTGCTAGGCGTGTTCTGTAATTTTAAGTTGTGGAGTGTGTCAACTGTACCTACATTGTTTATTTCCTGTGGTTCTTTAGCAGCCCTATTTTCTTCCTTTGATACGTTTCTTGTCTTTTGTGTTGAAATGAATAATGATGGGGGGCACTCCTTTGACTTTGGTGGTTGTACTGACGAAACCCCTGCTTGAAGCCCCCCCCGTTTGGATAAAAAAGGCTTGTGGGCTCCTGTTGTCAAATTTACCAACTTCACTTTGTTTGTCTCCAGCTTTTTGACAGTTTCTTGCAAGTTGTCGCCAAATAGTTTGGTTGCAGATGACTCATTGTCACATATGGCCTTAAATTGAGGCTGAATGTCTTTCCGAATTCTTTCTATCCTCGATGTGTTTGTTGCCTTAAACGTAAGGCAAAGGATTTTAAATGTGTCCATTAGACAGCTTGTAATATCTTCCTGGCTCCCTTTGGATTTCAACAGATCCAAAGCCCTGAGAAGTGGTGTTAGTGCCAGTGCGTAGTTGCCCGTGACTTTTTGCAAGAGGAAATCCACGGTTTTGGTGTTTAATTGGAGTTGACGCCAAACAACCTCTTCAACTGTTGGTACTTGAAGATTTTCAACATTTACTGGTCTCTTGTATTTCTCTCTAAACTCCTTTATCTTTTCAACATCTCTTTTGTCAGACCCACGAAGAGCTTCGTTTGTTATTGCAGCCAGCTTGTCATTTAATTCCTCCCCCGTTTCTTTCTGTTCTGAGAAGAATTGATCCAGGTCTTCCAAGAAAGACCCTGTGTCCTTTTCCTCAGTGGCAGATTCTTCTTGAATTAAGAACCCCTCTATATCAGATTCACTTTCTGACTCTGCACTTCTGGCAGTAGATTCACTTTCTGACTCTGCACTTCTGGCAGCTGCACAAGTATCAATTATTTGTTTGTCAGATTTTTTCTTTTTAGAGGATGATATGTTTGAGTCGTCCTCCGATTTTCTTTTCTGCAGTTCTTTTATGTCCTGTCTCATGACAGTAACTGCTTCTGCCAACGTTTTTATTCCTTGCGTAGCGCTACTGAACTCTGACATTTGCTTCCGAAGTTCACTTATTATTGTTTCATCGTTGTCATCCCCTTCGGCGCCCCGATGCCGATGCGCATGCGCTGTGCTTGATTCTCCACGACTTCCGCCCTGGCCTTTTGCCAACTCCATTGAGTAGCCTGAAAAAAGTTTCGAAATATGAGTGACATTCCAGCAAGTCTGTTTTACACTCCCAAGGCCTTTCATACACAAATTTAACTCTAGAAACGAAGTCATTATTACACAAGAAATTATTGTGATGACAACGATAATATTTCCAGCCGTATTTGACGGTCTATTTTTAGAATCGGAAAATCCGATAATTATTTTTGATAAAGTTGCCTTTCAAGGTTTATTTGTGTTTTCTCAGCACCAAAGTTTTGTATTAGGAATGAGGAAATGTGCCTAACTATTTCTGGAGTTAGACTACCTTTTATAAATTCGCCGAATCTCATTTGTGCTTAAATTCTGCACAATAAATAAATATGTCGAGATCGGACGCTGACTGCAGCCATTTTTATTCTGACGTCATGCGTAAAAAATTGGAAATTTCAACAATGAATCGGTCAACTGAAAGTAAGTTGTTTTCCGATATATAGGCAACTGAAATTAAGTTGCACTTTTGCATTTTACGCATACATTCTCTGTTTGTCTACTGCGCAGTTCTGCTGATATGTATATCTGGTATATATCCAATTTAAGTTACAACTGACCGCCGAAGTGGGCAAGTGCAGAAGGAATTTTATCAAGAATCACATTTAAATCTAAACGAACTTACCTTCGAATGAAATCCACAATATTATAATGAAATATATAAAAAGATTAATGATATCAACGTTTTGAAATGTTGTTTGGAAATCGAATTTCGTATTTTGAACAATTTATGAATTATATGACTGATCAATCCAAGCTAAAGCCTCGTACTGATAAGCTTGCTATTAGCTGCGTCTTCTCTCTGTGGGGCCCATTAAGGAGTTATGCAGGAGATGAAATTCAGATAAAAGCCTGGGTGTTTTGATTTTTGATTTGTAACATGATATACAATTTATCAGCAACAAATGCTGAAGTTTTGGATTCTATTATTCACTCTGCAAATGATTATAGCTGGTATATGAGGTCAGGCATTGCATTCTTGACCCCCGAATTTCAACGTTAACATTCTTGAAATAGACATTAAAATATTACCATTTACGGAGGTTTAAATAAATTCATTTACTTAAATTTAAAAGAAACATGCACTTATTGTTGATAAAAAAGTGACTGACAACCACTGAACAAAGAAAATACTAAATTAAGCATTTTCGGGGCCGTCCGGGTTTGGTGGTTGTCCGGTTTTGGTGGTCCCCAACCAGTATAACTCACTTTTAATGCTTTGTTAATAGTAAATGTAATTATCACTGCGGTAAACCGTACCCCGTATATTGCTCGATATTATGAGGACTTTCATACCAATTCGCGACTTTGAACGAGGAAGGAGGTAAGTTTAGTGACGATATTTAAGCATTTGTAATTGGTTTGATGTAAATTTTATAGAAAAAACAAATACTTCGATAATTTCTCTAGTTGCTGAAACCCCAAAAATGTTCAGAAATACCTTTGAAATGTAATTAGGAGGTACAATTCGTCTCTTTGCTCACGTGATAAATGAGCTCGGATCAGTTAAATTTGATGTTTTTGTGCATATACTTCCTAAAAGAAAAACTTGAATCGAGTGAAATGTGATAATGATGATAATGGTTATGATGTAAATGTTCAATCAACAATAGAACCCCAGATGACAGTGCATTTTGAGAATAAATACACATGTCAGTGTACCGAGTATTGCGTTGGAGTTTCCCGCCGGTGTCACGAGTATTGCTTTTTAGTGTAACGAGTATTGGTTATCAATATAAAGTAAATGCAAGTAGTTAACACAGAGTATTCATATTATTTTCAAAGTGAAAGGGGTATAACTCTGACAACAAGAGCCACCGCCGGGCGGCGGGGGCAACGCTCGACTTTTTACTTTCTCTAAAAGCAAACAAAGAAATGTTTGAACAAAATCATAACGTTTCCTTCTTATAAAATTAATCGGTCTGTCTTGTCACATTAGTTTTGTCTATATATTTTGTATATATAAATATACTAACATATATATATATATATATATATATATAAATAGAAATACGCAATTCTATAAATGGAAAATTCTATAAATAGAAACACGCAATTCTATAAAAGAAACACGGGATTCCATAAATAGAAAATTCTATAAAAAGATACACGTGGTGGAGTCACATGGTGACACGTGGTGGTGTCAAGTGGTTGACACATGGTGTCATGTGGTGAAGTCACATGGTGGTGGTGTCATGTGGTGGAGTCATGAGGTGGAGTCATGAGGTGGAGTCACGTGGTGGAGTCACGTGGTGAAATCACGTGGTGAAGTCACGTGATGGAGTCACATGGTGGAATAACGTGGTGGAATCACGTGGTTGAGTCACCTGGTTGAGTGATGGAGTCATGTGATGGATTCACGTGGTGTCACATGGTGGTGACACGTGAAGGTATCACATGGTGCCACGTGGTGGTGTCACATGATGGATTCACGTGGTGTCACATGGTGGCGGAGGTATCATGTGGTGTCACGTGGTGAATTTACTTGGTGGTGTCATGTGGTGTTGTCACATGGTGGAGTCATGTGGTGACATGTGGTGTCACATGGTGGTGTCATGTGGTGACACATGGTGGTGATGGCGGTTTCACTTGGTGATGGTGACACATGGTGTCACATGGTGGTGACACGTGGTAGTGGTGTCAAGTGGTGTTGTTGTTGTTGATGATGATGATGATATATATATATTATTTAATTATTTGCCAACCGGCACTTGTTTTCATTTTTTGTATATATATATATATATATATATATATATATAAATACTAGAAATGTGTCATCATGCCACAGATGCCCCCGCATGCAGCCAAAATTTCAGATGGTGCATTAATTTTTTTTTCATTTTAAGTTCAAAGCCCTTTAAACTTTTCAATGTTAACACAAACCATTTTCATACACTGTTCAAGGCACTGAAATTATTCAGTCTTAACTTTTTAAAAATAGCATATTGCATATTTGTAGCCAAAATAATGGCTAAAAGTATGAGTGCTGAAACTGAAAGTTCAAAATTTTCCTACATTCAGGAAAGATAAGTTTGTCTAAAATCATTGAACCACAACCAAATTCAAACTTAAACTGCTTATTCCTAAGATGTATCTATATTATTTTCAAAGTGAAAGGGACATAACTCTGCCAAAAAATCATCAAACCATGACCAAATTCCAACTTGACCTGCCCATTCCTTTGACATATCTATATGTCAAATTTAAATTGAATATGTTACACTGTTGGGTAGATAATGAACAGAAACTGTAAATTTCATATTTATTTTCAAAGTGAAAGGGCATTAGTCTACCAAAAATCATTGAACCATGACAAAATTCGAACTTGGCCTGGGCATTCCAAAAACATATCCATATGTCAAATTTGAGTTGAAATGTGTTGTACCATTGGGGAGATAATAAACGGAAACTAAAAATTTCATAGTACTTTCAAAGTGAAAGGGCATAACTCTGCCAAAAATCATTGAACCATGAACAAATTTGAACTTGACCTGCGCATTCCTTTGACGCATCCGTATGTCAAGTTTGAGTTGAATGTGTTGTACCTTTGGGAGATAATGAACAGAAACTGAAAATTTCATATTATTTTCAAAGTAAAAGGGGCATAACTCTGCCAAAAATCATCGAACCATGACCATATTCAAACTTGACCTGTATTTTCTCATGACATATCCATATGTCAAGTTTGAGTTGAATGTGTTGTACCGTTGGGGAGATAATGAACGGAAACTGAAAATTTTATATTATTTTCAAAGTAAAAGGGGCATAACTCTGCCAAAAATCATCGAACCATGACCAAATTCGAACTTGACCTGTATTTTCTCATGACATATCCATATGTCAAGTTTGAGTTGAATGTGTTGTACCGTTGGGGAGATAATGAACAGAAACTGAAAATTTCATATTATTTTCAAAGTAAAAGGGGCATAACTCTGCCAAAAATCATCGAACCATGACCAAATTCGAACTTGACCTGTATTTTCTCATGACATAGCCATATGTCAAGTTTGAGTTGAATGTGTTGTACCGTTGGGGAGATAATGAACGGAAACTGATATTTCATATTATTTTCAAAGTAAAAGGGGCATAACTCTGCCAAAAATCATCGAACCATGACCAAATTCGAACTTGACCTGTATTTTCTCATGATATATCCATATGTCAAATTTGAGTTGAATGTGTGCAACCGTTCTTAAGATAATGAACGGAAACTGATGATGACGGAATGACAGAATGACGGAAGGACGGAAAGGACGGAAGGACGGAAGGATGGAAGGACGGAAGGACGGAATGACGGAACAGGGTAACACTATATGCCCCGGCCATTAACATGGCGGGGGCATAATAAATATATATATATATATATATATATATATATATATATATATATATATATATATATATACTCACACCAATAAATATATATGGTCATTTAATGCACAAATCTGAGATAATTCAGTAATTTAACCCTCAAGGTCAAGGTCATTAAAGAGCCCAAGTGTTTGATAAACAACAAGGTCTTGTCCTTACGTATGTTCTGTTATAATATGAAGTTGATCCCTTCAATAATAGCAAAGTTACAGCCAGTTACAGCCAAAACAATGAAAATTTCAATAATTTGAACTTCAAAGTCAAGGTCATTAATGAGTGAAGGTCAAGGTCTGTCTGCTTATTTTTAAGGGTTATCCTTGAAGATTAATATGTTCAAGTTTGAAGACAATCCATTCAAAAATAACAAAGTTAGAACCAATAATAGCCAAAAAATTGAAAATTTCAATAATTTGACCTTCAAAGTCAAGGTTATTTATGAGTGAAGGTCAAGGTCTGTCTGGTTATTTTTAAGGGATATCATTGAAAATTATTATGTTCAAGTTTGAAGACAATCCATTCAAAAATAACAAAGTTACAGCCAATAACAGCATGAACATTCAAAATTTGGACTTTTAACCTTGAAGGTCAAGGTCATTTATGGATGAAGGTCAAGGTTAGTGTGGTCTACTGAAAGGTCTTGTCCCAAAGGTTGTTGTGGCCAAGTATGAAGAAAATAAAAAGTCGAGCTAAAAATCATCAAACCATGACCAAATTGAACTTGACCTGTGCATTTCTTTGATGTATCCATACGTCAAATTTTGAATTGAATGTGTACATTGTTGGGGAGATAATGAACAGAAACTGTCAACATAATTTGTCATCTTAGTGCAATAACTGATTAACTCCTATTGAATTTAGAAGAACTTATTACGTTACTGCACTAAAGTGATAATATGTAGGTTTTTTTTAGGAAAAGTACATGCAAATGAAATGTGCATTGAAAATAAATCAATGGGTTCTTACTGGTATATGACTAAATTTTATAGCCATTATAGTATTCTGTACACACATATTAAGTTCTCTAATGACAATACTGACATTTATCAACAACCACAAAAATAAACACTAGTTATTGCCCCATGTCTGAAAAACCTTATTTAAATAACTATAATTATTTTTCTGATGAAAATATGTCATTTATCTCTAACAGCATGACTTTACATGCAACATTCCTTTTGAATCATTTGTTGTCTTAATAACATTTTTTTATAAAATACATGGAACTTTATAACTAAATCTTATAATTTTGTTCAATTTGTCCAATTTTCATGAAAGGAAATAATCCAATTAAATCTTTATAACAACAGGAAAAGGAAGTGAATTATTTCCCTTTATATTTATTCAAAACCAAAAGAGAAAGTAAAACAAGTAAAATTTCCAACTAATAATCTTGTCAAACAGAAAGTAAATACAATTCTTTTATCTATTTCAAGACACAGTATCTAATACAACACTCAAAGTAAGTTTCAAATTGATCTTTATACACATTAATTTCACATTTCAATAAATACATTATTTAAGAAAGTATAATGGATGGTATATTACTTATTTTTCTGATGAAAATATGTCATTTATCTCTAAGAGCAAGATTTTACATGCAACATTCCTTTTAAATCATTTGTTGTCTTAATAACTTCTTTATTGATTTAATACACGGAACTTCATATGTAAGTCTTATAGTTAAATTTTGAATAAGGGAAATAATCCAATTAATTTTCATAATAACAGGAAGTGAGTTATTCCCCTTTAAACTTGTCAGTAAAAACCAAAACAGGAAGTAAAAATTGTAAAATTTCCTCCTTTCTTGTCAAACAGAAAGTCAATACCATTTTTGGATTATTTTCAAGACTTTGTGTCAGATTCAACTATCAAAGTATGTTTAAGATTTATTCTTGTAAAGAAAATTTCATATTTATATTGAACAACTTTTTAAGAAAGTATTACATGGAATATTTTATTAGATTTAGTGTTCAATTCAAGTATCTCCTTAGTCAATATTCTGCTTCAAGTTACAATTCAACAGCCTTTGAATATCAAAAACATAAAAACTGAAAATTTATTAAACATATAACTATATTGACATATCATTAAGCCTTTCACAATCTTTATGTAACTGTAGAATGCAAAATGCTGACAGTAATTCAAGTGATATAAATCAATCAACTTTTAATTAACATTATTTGTCTTTCATATTTTGAACCAAAAATGGAAGTAAGGTAAAACAAATATGAATTACACTGAAAAAAAAATTAAAGGCCTATTCTACCCCCCAAACAAGAGGACCAAGATGGCCCTAGATCGCTCACCTTATCCATCCAATTCGTCCAAACAATTACTTAGACAATTATCCTGACCAAGTTTGATGACAATTGAGTCAAAAATGTGACCTCTAGAGTGTAAACAAAGTTTTTCCATATTTGGCCAGGTTGACCCAGGTGACCCATATTCAAACTTGACCTAGAAATCATCAAAACAAACTTGCAGCACAGACACTTGTGGGTCAGATCCCCCCCCCTCCTCCAATGTGATACGCCCCTGCAAACACTCTATCAAAAATATTCTAATATTTCAACACGAATGGGACATCTGTTACAACGATAAAACTGGTTTTCAAACAATTTTTACATATATGAAAAAATAACATATACCATCAAGTCTCAATAAAGTAAAGATTTAGTCTTTCACAGTTTTACTGCAATATACAGAAGTATAGATATATTATCAGCAAGAATGTCATTTAAGCAGCATTCTACTTTAAGTGCATCATATCACTGTTAAGCCTTCTTGAAACAGCATCCCAAGAGTTATTTATAAAACATACAGTAAACTCCGCTTATAACGAACTCACTGGGACATTCAAAACCTGTTTCTTATATCTGGAGTTCCTTGTAAGCATATAGCGAATTAGTTCGTTGTATCAGGAGTTTTTAAAGCGAACAGATTTAAATATAATGAACTGATTGTTTACCATTGTCAGCCATTTTTGAAGAGAATTTGATTAAGAAATAGAAATATTAGTCATTTATTTATATTTTAGACACACTACCCGAGAGCGTTCTTTTTGGAATTCGAAAATCATTTCTATTTCAGTTTTAGTTTTACTCCTTATCTCAATTTCACATAAAATATAATATTTTGTTTCTAAACTATTTTTGTTTTCTTTCCATGATTGAGAATAAACAAGATTTTCGATTTTTCCTTCCTTTTATATTGAATATTTTCTATTATAATTTAAGGGTGACTTTTACTAATGTAA